GGGAGCTGATAACTTTCGAGTCGAGGAGAGAGCCTTTGGATCGGTATATCTTTATAGGGCTATATCAACAGCATATCTCTAACACCTTCCCCGGCGGTTGGCCGGTCCCTTCGTCGGCGGATGGTCTGTTGCTGCATAGCCTGGCCTCAATATCACGTTTCTCCGAGCTTCCTGCACCGATGGTGGATCTCAAATGTTGTCAGTCGGACTCGTCGCTTCTCGATCACCGATGATGGTCTCGGATACTGGTCTTCCGGTCGCGTCGATGGTGGTAAGCCCGATGGTCGGCTTCATCTCTGCATGGTCACTCGTGGCGGGCTTGGCTGATGTGCTTCTGGATCACGGTAGGTTGCTGCGAGTGCTGGTACACGCCGACGAGGCGGTCCTTCCCACGGATCAATATCGGATACCAAACATATACATACATGATTTCGAATTACCCTAAGCATGCTCCTAAAGTATGAACAGAGAAATACCATTCTTCGAGGCTTTGATTCGATCTGAGCGATCTTCTAATCTGTGTCCTGACCATGTTTGGGCGTCGGATGGACGACGATCTACCAAACGGTTGAAAGGAGTAGATTGTGTTTCGTCTTCTCCGAACCCTTCGTGTGACTTTCTCCTCACGATGGTGGCTGAAGGTGTCACGTTTTGTGATGTTGCGTAGGGTTCAAGACGTGTAATCCCTCCTTTTGTAGAGGTCCTTGGGCCAGCCTAGGGATCTCTTAGAAGGTATAGGGTTTGGGCTCTCTACAGGCCCAAATTCTTATGTTCAGCCCAAAACACAATTTGGCCCGTAATTATTAATTCATTTCACAAGAGAATCAATATTGCACTCCCGTCCTATCCCGAAATGAATCAGGGCTTCTATTAGACTCGATATAATTCCCCGTGTTTAAGATATCGCACGTCCATTAATTATTAAAACTTATGACTGCTTTAATTAATTTATATCTTTTATTCCTTAAGTAGTACCACTCAACCTTATTATCGTACGGATTAAATCCACCTGCAGGGTTTATACGATAATCCTTATGAGTTCCTTAAGGGGACATCATCAACCTAGATGTCCAGGACACGGTTCCCTAATGTCAATAAATAGATATCATGCAGATAATGTTGTTACCCAAGATACGGAGCATATTGAACCAATACTTGGTTCTCACCCATGGTAAATCAAAGTAACAAACAAATATCCCACATATCTAAGTATCACACTTAGGGTTAAAAATTAGTATAGTCACCGAGACCTAGGTTCTTCATGATAGTCAGAACAGAAGAACACGTCTCAACTGTGATCCATTCAATGCGACGCAGCACACTAGTATAAACCAATAGCGAAGACAAGCTACATTCAGTTTATACTACAACCTACACCAATAGTCATGTCCATAACTATCTCAGTTGTGAATACCATTTATATCTTATAAGCGACCGACAATGTAATCTCCTGTGTGACTACTAACACACCACATTGTCTACAATATAAGATAATTGGACATTTAGCATACACGCAATCATAAAGAATGCATCAATGTGAAAACATTTATTTCTGTCAAAATGGGAAATCGAATAAATACAATCCAAAAGCTCACATGAAAGTTTTCTTTATAGTATACTCCAACAATTTCCCACTTATACTAAAGCTAAAATTTTATTGTATAAACACATGTCATAACTATTCTCCCACTTATACTCAAAGTTTAGCTGCAACACATCGTAAACCAAGACCCTGTATGTGTTTCTCGAAGACATTGACAGTCAGATTCTTCGTGAAAGGATCAGCTAGGTTATTCAACGATGCTATCTTCGTCACAACCACATCTCCTCGTTTGACGATCTCTCGTATAAGGTGGTACTTTCTCTCGATGTGTTTACTGGCCTTATGTGCTCGGGGTTCTCTCGAGTTTGCGAATGCACCAGCATTGTCAAAATAAATTGTGATACACCTAGGCACACTCGAAGATACCCCTAAGTCCAGTAAGAAGCTCTTGAGCCAAACAACCTCCTTTGTTGCTTCTGAAGCAGCAACGTATTCAGCTTCCATGGTAGAATCTGCGATGCATTTCTGCTTCACACTCCTCCATGAGATCGCTCTACCTCCCATCATAAACACATAACCCGAGGTCGACTTTCTCTTATCTCGATCAGCTTGGAAATCAGAATCTGTGTAACCCAAAAGGAGTTAGACTGTCTAACTGGTAAACAAGCATATAATCCCGAGTTCTTTTCAGATACTTGAGAATATGCTTCACCGCGGTCCAGTGTCCTTGACCAGGGTTAGACTGATATCTCGCTACCACGCCAACTGCATAGCAAATATCAGGCCTCGTGCACAGCATGGCATACATAAGGCTTCTTATAGCTGAAGCATAAGGAACCTTAGCCATTTCCTCTATCTCCTTTTGTGTCTTCGGACACATATCCTTAGATAGAGGAACACCATGACGAAAAGGTAAAAACCCTTTCTTAAAGTTCTGCATGCTGAAGCAAGCAATCACACTATCCGTGTAAGCAGCTTAAGATAAACACAACATTCTCTTCTTCCTGTCACGAATGACCTTGATTCCAAGAATGTACGATGCCTCACCCATGTCCTTCATTTGAAACTGTTCTGAAAGCCATACCTTTACGTCTGACAAAATCTTGACATCGTTGCCGATGAGAAGAATATCATCTACATATAGTACTAAGAATACCACTACATTTCCATTGCTCTTTTTGTATACACAACTTTCTTCTTGATATTGATCAAATCTATAGGACTTGATCACCTCGTAAAAATGAATGTTCCAAGACCTAGAAGCTTGTTTTAGTCCATAAAGAGACTTCATTAGCTTCCATAGTCGATGCTCTTGGCCTTTCTTCACATAACCCTCGAGTTGCTGCATATAGACGTCTTCATCCAAGTTTCTGTTAAGGAAAGCTGTCTTGACATCCATTTGCCAAACCTCATAGTCCATGTGACTTGCTATGGATAAGAGAATCCGGATCGACCTAAGCATGGCGACCGGTGAAAAGGTCTTATCATAATCGATTCCTCTTTCTGAGTGAAACCCTTCGCAACCAATCGTGCTTTGAAGGAAATAACCTTCCCGTCAGATCCTCTCTTACGCCTATAGACCCATTTGCACCCAATGGCTTTTTTGCCTTCAGGAAGGTCCCTAAGGTCGTATACATCCATAACATCTATAGATTCAATCTCAGAATCCATAGATTTCTGCCTAGAAATTGCATCTACGTCTTGGATTGCCTCATTGTAGGTCCAGGGATCACTATCATGCTTTTCACTTGGGATCAAGTCCGAAGACTCTCCCACAAACATGAAACGATCGGGCTGACGAATAACCTTCCCACTACGACGAGGCAATTTATGTGTAAATACATCAGAGTCAACATGTTGTGCAGTCTTTTGTGGTATATCCTCTTGCACACTCGGTATGCCATTGTCTGCCCTCAACTCTTTGAGAATAATCTCACTCTTGGAATTATGCTCACTCATATAGTCTTCCTCTAAAAATCGGGCATTGGTGCTAACCACTACCCTCAGATCTTTAGGACTATAAAAGTAACCACCTCTCGTTCCCTTTGGGTATCCTACAAACAGCCGCACTTCTGTTTTAGGTGCCATTTTATTAGCTTCCTTATCCAACACATGTGCTGGGAAGCCCCAAATCCGAATGTGGTTTAAACTGGGCTTGCGCCCAGACCAAAATTCTATTGGAGTTTTCGGAACTGATTTAGAAGATGCAAAGTTAAGAAGGTACATCGCCGTGTCCAAAGAATATCCCCAAAACGAGGTAGGTAATGAAGCATAGCTCATCATCGATCTCACCATTTCCAACAGAGTCCTTTTCCTTCTCTCTGCTACGTCATTCTGTTGGGGAGTACTAGGTGCAGTCAGCTGGGATGTAATCCCATTCTCTAATAAGTATTGCCTAAATTCATTGCTAAGGTATTCGCCACCACGATCAGATCGCATTGACTTGATACTTTTACCTTGGCGGTTCTACGCTTCTGCCTTGAATTCTCTAAACTTGTCAAAGCATTTAGACTTGCGGCGCATCAAGTAAATGTACCCATTTCTTGAGCAATCGTCAATAAAAGTAACGAAATACTCAAAACCAACTCTAGCTTGAATAGACATAGGCCCACACAAATCAGAGTGAATCAATTCCAAC